GCGGACATTATCGTAAACCTTGGTCATCCCCAGGCCTTCCGAGAAGTTATCCAAGCCTTCCCAACAGACGCAAAACACCTGTCACCGTCGCCTTCTGAGAAGGCATTTTCCTTCTCATTTTCCCCGTCGCCCGCCGCCGAAAGAGGGAGAGAAAGAGGAAAAGAGGAAACGAGGACGAGGGGCTCTGGCAATTCTGAGACGGGGCGGCCGCTCCTTCTGAAGGGGTCCGATCAACATCGGAACGGCGACAGGCACGTGAACGGCGAGAAAAAATTGGCCCGACCTTGTACGCGCGATGACATTGCGACCTTGGGCCGAAGCTTACGGTGGCCGCCAACGTGGCACGCCAAGAGGAGAAATACAGGGTTTATGCGCGACCTTGCGCGGGAAGCCCACGCGCGCATGTCCGCGCAATCGACCCCGTTTTCCCCCGCCGCGCGGGCGGGGCTCTCGATGCCGAAGAATTGCAAAGGATTGTCGTTGAAAGGCGCTCGCCGCCACGCGCCGGGGAGGGGTGGGGCGGGAGGGAGTGGGAAGGGGGGGGTGAAGCATGGGCCTCGGGGGGGACCAAGAGGCAGGATAGCCCAGAATCGAATCGATGATTCCGACTAGCGATCGAAATTAATCGGATCAGCGGAAGTCGGCTGCCAAATCGAAAAACATCGAAACGGCAGGCATCCGCAGGCTAGTGGGCCTCCAATGAGAAATCTGAATCCAGATCAGGATCCGAAGCTGAATCGAAATCCGAAGCCATCGACGTCGACTCGAAACGAAATATGAGTAGCCGAAGCGAACGTCAAAATCATAGCGGTCGAAAACACTGGCTCGCCTGTGAATGCCGACAGGTTCCCGCCAAGTGCTCGAGCTCGCGTCCAGCCGCGACTCGCGAGAGCGCCTGGGGGGGGAGAACAAAACAACAAAAAGGATGATAACCGTTTGCGACGGCTCCCCGCGACGACGACAAGAACGGCCAGAGGGACCCGCCCCGTTGCCTTGTCACGCGCCTCGCCGAACGCATATAGGACCCAGGCGGACCCGGAGCCAACGCCCGCACCGACGCGCGCCAAGAACGAGAGGTGAAGAACACCCCCCGCATAAGAACCCCAAGCCGGGGCTTCTTAGGTCGAATTCACCATGGGATTCCGCTCGAAACAAAAAAGAAAAGGCCAACGCCCAGAGCCCAAAAACGGAAACGGACGATTTTTGTGTTAGGTGGGCAAAACAACGGAACGCGCCCCGACCGCGGACGGGGTGGCCACGCCAGAAGGCGAGCTCAGGAGCTCACCTCCAGGAACTTAGTGACGTACGTAGCGCGGTGCATATTGACGACGCGGACGCGCTCCCCCCGCGGGAATGGACCCGGGCGAAGAAAAAGTGCAGGATAGAGCGCGCGTGGAAGTAAAACGGAGAAAGGTTGAAATTGAACGGGCAGAGCGAACGGCCCAAGATACAGGCCTACGGCTCGGCGCTCGCCGCCCCCCCCCCCGCAGGGGGCAGCGCGCCCGCCGCCGCACTTCGCGCGCGTCTCGCAGAGGCGGGGGGGGGGGGCGGCGGCGGTCTGCCTAGCTCGCTGGCGCCGCAGGAGCTGCAGGTTCCTGGGGGGGCGGGGAAGAGGAGGAGGAGAAAGAGGAGGATGAGGATGAGGATGAGGATGAGGATGAGGATGAGGATGAGGAGGAGGAGGAGGAGGAGGAGGAGGAGGAGGAGGAGGAGGACGAGAACTATGCACACACACACAGACTCCGCTTCTGGCCAGGCCCATCCTGAGCCCGGGATCGGTGCATACGCCTTCGTGGCTTGGCCAAGGAGGTACATGCACCGATCCTGGGCCCAGGATGGGCCTGGTCGGGATCGGCGAATGTATACTCTCGAAAGCAACGCAAATTCAAGCACATGTGCGTCATTCGTTCGATCCTGATCCCCCTCGTCCACCCCTGAACGATTACCATTCTTCAACGTCGCGCCCCAAGACGTGTTGGTAGGGCGGGCCGGGCGGTTCGCCTGAGCTCTCCTCGCCACAGATGATCACGAGGCTCGAAGCTTGCAGCCACTTCACAGGCGTGGGGCGGGCCCTTCTCAAGACTCGCCGCCCGTTCGCCCTCTCGCCCTCGAAATCTCGCCCGCTCCACGGGCGGAGGGCGGGTCGTTCTCGGGCGTGGCCGTCGCCTCGGCGCCGAGCGAATTCGCTCCAAGGCTTGGACCAATGTCCAGGGGCCCAAGGACACGCAAATAAATACCCACACACACACACATCGAATGGTTCCCCATATATGTGTCCATATGTTCGGGGTCATTGCCTTCCCGCCCAAGTCCCATAGTTTCCCATATATTTTCCTGGGAGTCGACGATGGATGTCGTCTGTGTGTTGTGTTCCCTCCTGACAGTGTCACGGACGGAGGGCGGGTCGTGCTCCAACTGCGTGTCTCGCCTTCTGGCGCCGCGCACCCTGGCCTTTAAACCGCTGTTGCACCCGTTTCACGGATGGAGAGAGCCGCGCGGTTCTCCTCCTCCTCCTCCTCCTCCTCCTCCTCCTCCTCCTCCTCCTCCTCCTCCTCCTCCTCCTCCCCCTCCCCCTCCTCCCCCACTCCCCCCCTCCCCCCCCCCCCTCCCCCACCTCCCCCACCTCCCTCACCTCCCCCCCCTCCTCTCCCGCCCTGGCGCCGCGTACAATCGTCTTGAAGGCTGTGACATACTGGGAGATGGAGGGCGGATTGCTTTCCCAGCACCGCGCACGTTCGTCTTACATGTGTGCAGCAGTTCCAAAGAGTTGTATGCTGTCAAATCAACAGTATGGAGTTCTGGCACGACTCACGACAAATAGAACGCAAACAGTCATGTTGACTCGCAGTGTTGGAGTCCAGGACCGGCGTTCGAGCACGATTGAGGACTGCCAGGACGCGGCAGTCACGTTGATCCGTGGGGTTAAAATCCCAGGGACGGTGTTCTGGCACGGCTGAGGATTCTTAGACGGTTATGTTCTAATATGCCACATCCAGCAATGAACATGGATATTCTGTGTATGGGGCATGTGAAGGATGAGTGGAGGGTTTGTTGAAACATGATTGATGCATCTTGGGCTTGCTCTAGTACCCCTCCTACCTCTCGTCCCCCTCTTCTCCTCGTCCTCCGCTGAAATCCTGGCGTTGCTGCTGACCCAGAGTGCCTCGGATGGTACAGGTTGCATCGCTCGGGCAACACCAGCGCACGTTGCTCTGCATGCCCTGCTGCTGGTTCTCACGCTCCAGAAAACCGGAAGGTTGGACAAGAAAATGCTGCTGCCGCTGGGTGCAGCGCTTGTGTGCATGTTTCACTAGCAAGGGCAAGGCCACTCGGTGTGCGCTGCACAACGACGCTGGCTGATGTCCTTTTATGTCGCTCTTGTGATTGTCCGCTTTCACTTCCTGACCTGGGTCCTTGGTCCTTGGACCCATACCAATCCATGTTCCATCCTCCTACTCCGCTCAAGCCACCTGAGCACGAGTACAGTTTGCATCCGAGTGCAGAAGCAGTCAGCCTGCCAAGTGGCGCTTAAGCCATATCTGACCAGCACTCTTCGTTTGCAGATTGTTGGATTGGGTTGGCCACTAGGAGCAATGGGTAAGCCTCCTGGGGAAAGCCTGCGCAAGAATGAGTCTGCCTGCACACGGTGCTGGGATGGGCAGAACTAAACACCGTTGATCGGGTTGTCGCCTACGCATACGCGATGGGTAAGCCTCCTCCCTCTCCTCCCATTCTCATCCTCCACCTGCTCATCCGCCTCCTCCTACTCTGGGAGGTGGGAGGGGGAGGGGGTACAAGGACCCCTTGCCCCATGGAATAAATGACGGGCTCTTTGTGGGCGGTTACATACGACTCAGGATGAAAGAACAACCGTCGCGGGGGAACCGCCGAACACTCCAGGGGTCCGAGTTATGAACGCATCACGACACCGAGGGTTCGGGGAGAAGAAGTAGGAGCAGACGAGATAAGGAATACAAGCGAGGGGAAGGAGAGGGGATGGGTAGACAAAAAGGTACCGACACCAGTACTCCTCTGACCTCTCCCGGAGTGCGATCACGCCAAAAGTTCGAGGCGAATCCAGCCGTAGCGCCGAGGGCCTGCCAGGAGGCCCAGAAAACGAAGCCTAAGGGAAAGTACCGGTATCGGTAAAATGCTTCCCCTTCGGAGAAGTTAGCAAAATAGAAAGGGGATGAGAAAGAATGCAGGACCAGTAGGCGTGCTGCCGGCAGAGGCAGTGGGGACAGGGAGGATCGTTCCCGAACATGCGGGGGCCGACTCTCGCAAGCCAAGCCTCGTGGCCGCGCGTTTTACCTCTGTCTCCGCGGGAAGGCACCGATGCCGCTGCTCCTCGGGCCGCTTCCGGGGTGCGCTCTGACCAGGATTTCGATGAGCATCCAGCCGCGGCGACGAGGGAAGGTTGGGCCGGGCGAGCGGGGGGGATAGCAAAGGGGGGGGGTGAGAGTCAACTCGCGTAGCTGACTTTCCTGGCGCCTCACGGCGCCGGAGGCGCCCGGGTATCGAGGAATGGGCCCCTCGGTGGGGCCGACACCAGCTGCATGCAGCAGATTTCGTAATCCCCCTTCATTCCCCCCGCCTCGTCCGGCCCGAGGAAGGTGGTGTGCAGCGGCACCGGTGCAGCCTCCCCCTCGGAGCTCCGCCGACCGCTTCCCCCACCGACAGACGGCCGGCCTCGGTTCTCCCCGCCGACGGGGCGCCCAAGGACATTACAAATGCTGCGCGTCCTCCGCGGAGGCGTGCGTCCGACCCGGACATGTAGTGCAACGACCTTGTAGTAAGTCTTGGGAGGCAAGAGCTGGGAGGTCCTCGTCGGAAGGCTGAAAGCGGATTCAACCGCACTGGGGGGGCTGCTACGCCCGATGAGGCAGCGGAGTCAGCGGGATTCAGCCGGATGAAGCGGGATGCGACCGGATTTCGGACCAAGGCAAAGTCAGAGTTTGACCCCCCAGAAGTTGCCGCCAATCTATATATATATATATATATTCCCGAGCGGTGTGGCCAACATGCGCCGGCCAAGGGGCTTATATTATAAGATTTCTCGGCGTGCGCGCGTCGCCTCTGGGGGGGGGGGGGGGGGGGGCGACGCGCACTCACTATTAGTATGTCGGTGTGACACCGATCCAAGTATGCAAAACCTCAATGCTGGACGTGTCCCCCAGTCATTCAAATCAGAAGAGGAGGCCAAGAAATCCGGGGACATCGCATGGCCACGATATCCACCCCCCTAGTCGTCACCTCCTCGTGGGCGCCTCCGGCATCCCCCTCCTCCCCACGAGCTCCCACGAACCATCCGCGCTAGCGGAACAGAACCAGGTGAAGGACAAGGGCCACGTGGAGGAATAGGATGAGTAATAGGGGACTGCGACGCTTGGTACACTCGACCAGGATAATAAGGATGCGCGAAAAGTATACAAGGGCCTTTTTTTATCACGTCCCGTGGAACGCCCAGAAGGTTGCCGCAGTAGCACTCTGGCCACTGGGCACGACTGTACAAATGCTCCAGCATGCTACTCAAGAGCTCCTTGTCGATCTCGGTCAATATTCTGACGTGCTCCTCCCGTCCCAACATGGTGTGAGGATGAACAGAAGGAACGCGATTGGGAACGCGTTGCACACCACAGCGTGGGGGTTGAGGTACAGCGCTACAAAAACCGGAACGGTGAAAAATTGGTCACGCAAAGGTCGCAATAGCGATAGGGGCAGCAGACGAAACTGAGCTGCTCACGCGCTGCAGGCTCATCCTTTTCAAGCAGCTCGTCGGGAGCTCGCTCACGCCAGCGTGGTCACCATCACCCAGCAGACCTCCGACAGCAAACCCTGTTCGCCCCAAGTGCTTCACAAAGACGTTCAGATACGGGGTGCCAGCGTCGGTGTGTGCATTGACGACCTTCAGCCAGACCTTGCCCACTGCGAACCACTTACCGCTGCCGCTGCGCTCGCGCTGCGCTCGGAGGCGGTACCCCCCCGCCCGTTGCGCGTAGGCCCAAAATCCCGTGATATTCACTTCCGTGAAGTAGATATCTTGGCACTCTCCGCCCTGCCTGCTCGCCACGGCCGACACCCGAAGCAGTGCGTTCTCGGCGTCCGACTCGCGAGGGACGTTTACCAACGCGTGCTTGCCGGGCATCATCAAGTCGAACCGCTGGCCATGGATATTCTGCAAGTGAGGATCCCCAACGGCAGTAGCACCCCCAGCAGCCCCGCCAGGGGTGGTGGCCTGCGCGGCTGTCGGCGCCGAGGTGGGCGCTGGCGTGGGACTGGGCGTCGGGCTGGGCGTCGGACCGGGCGTCGGGCTGGGCGTAGCCGGAGGAGCGGCCACCTTCAAATAGCACTGGCCCTGGACATGATTGACCTCCGTGACTTCACAATCCAAATCTCGAAAAGCTTGATCACTCTGAAAGTTGGTGATGCTTGCGGGCCGGATGCTGGCAGTGTTGGGCGCCGCATAAATATAGCATCCTCCGATTCCATGTCCGAATTGCAAAGCTTGACACCCGAGTAGCTGGAGCAGACATCCTGACAGTCCGCTACATCGTAACCCAAGTCGGACCAAGCCGATGAAACGTAACGGTCCACACGACCATCGCCAGTGCAACGACAATCTCCATCACCAAGCAATGTGTACGAGGATGTGTGGGTGCCCACGTCCAGCTTCTTCTTTTTCTTCTTCTCGACAATTTTCGCGTCGACCGTGGCGTTGAGCTTAGCGAGCTCCCTCTCGAGGGCGGCGGTATCGTGCGGCACGTCCACGTCGATATCGTCGACGGTCCCCTGGGCGACGGCAGCGGCCCCCGCGTCGTTGCGTTGGAGGAGGGCCTCGATCGAGGGCGTGAATACCATCACCAGAAAAGTGGTCCGTGCCGCCTTCCAAGCGGCCACCATCCCGCTAAATTGTGCTGGGCAAAAAGGGGGAAATCGGAAGACCAGTTTGCAGGAACACAAGAACCCTGTTGAGTGCTCTGATTTGGCAATCAATGCTTGAGCCAAAATGGCTACGGAGCGAAAAGTATACAAGGGCCTTGAAGGGCCATTTTAAACTTTTTTCGAACGAGGTTGGCCAGTGAGGGTCGAAGAGGATGGGGCGACGGGGCAAGGATGCAAGGGTAGCCTTGGACAGTTGCTCATCCTGAATATGCGGGTCGACTGTGAAGGTGGCTTGGCTTCACAGCCATCGTGCTACCATGAGGCACGCCGAATCAAAAGGAAGGGAGGCACTTGTCTCTGACCACGGTGAGCCTGGGCCAGGAGGTCCCCCCAGGCCTAGATATGAGCGACGGACCCTCAAAGCCAGAGCCCCCTCTGAACCCGACATGGTCTATATGTCGGCGCCAGAAGAGAAGAAGAGACAGAGAGCGAGCGAGACAGAGAGATGCCGTTCACAATCAAGGTGCGCGCGTTGGCAGAATGGTGAGACGACTGCCACTGCAAGTGGCGCAGCCGTGAAGCTATGAAACGCCAAGAGCTAGCGACAGCGCGGCGACGGTGACGACAACGTCGACGACGACGAGGAAAATGACGAAGCGAGAGGAGGACGTCGTCCGGGGGTATCTGAAAAACTACAAAGTCGCGAGTTTCCAGTTCTCGCCAAACCTCCGACGTCACGCTCTTCAATGCTGGGCACTGGAGTTCTCGGCCCCTCCACGAAGCTGGCTCCCCAGCCCAGGTAGGAGGAGGGAGGAGGAGAAGAGAGGAGGGGAGAGGAGAGAGTGGAGGGGGGAGGAGCGAGAAGGGAGGAATGAGAGGAGGACGGAGGGAGACGAGGCAGAGGAGTGTGAAGGCTCTAATATAAGCAAGCACCTGGGCCGCCTGCGGGCATCAACTCGACCCCCGCGAGGGCGCCCCGAGCCCCGCGGGCCGCCCGCGACCAAGGGCGGGAAACAGTCGGCGATTCATTACAGTGCGGGCGCGGCCGCAAGAAACCCTCGCAAGAAGCCCAGCCCTGAAACCTGAAGGCGCGGGATGAAAGTATGGAGAAGCCCAGAGCCTCCTGAACGCAGCAGCTCCCTCAACGGCCACGGGAAGCCATCGCGCAGCGCGCGGAGCGAAGAAACCCGGGGTACCCTGACGAAAAGCACTCAGTGTCTTGATGCGCGCCCCACTGTATCCAACCCAACGCGCGTGCTGCCGGCGGGCACCCGCTAGCCGTTCCGAGCATCGCAAGCCAAACAGAGCTTGCGCAACAATCGCACGATGACAAGTGAGAGCGAATCGTGAAAACATGACAAACTATGCAAGCGCTACGCGACATGGCCAAACCGACAACGGCACGACAACACGAAACAGAAATGCGCGACCACTGAACGACGGTCACAACAAGGCGCTGGAAGACCGCGCAAAGTAGAGACACATCAACGACACAGGCGAGAGAAGTCACACACACACACACACGCACACACGCACAACAACGGACATTTACACATATTCAAACCACATCAAGAATGGCCAAACGAACGCCCAGCACGTGCAAGGCAAGAACAACAACACCGCGAAACACCACGACACTGGCGCCGAAAAGCACGGCAAAGGTACGACAAAGGGACGACGATCAAGGAACAGAACACGGTCATGTCACGCGCAAGCACGGACAGGCGCGAAACATATAAAACAAACCAGACCATACACGAAAGAGAGCAGGCCAAAACACAAGAAACCAACGGCACGATAAACAATCACGACTAAGCTCAAGAAGCGAAAACTGGAAAGCACCAACAAACACGAATGCACTAACGAAAACAATCAAACAACACGAAACAGGCACACAAGACAAAAGGCACGACAAGGCACGACAAAGGCATGAACAAGTACGAAAAGGAACGACAAGGCACGATAAATCACGACAAAGGCATTAACAAACACGAGCCAATACGAAAAAGGCACGAACAAGCACGAAAAGCATGAAAACACGACGCAACACGAAACGGTACCAAAAACATGAGAAACAACAACAATAAACAAAACAGCACGACGAGGAAGGCACGACGAAGAAACGACAAACATACGAAACAACATGAAAAGGGTATTACGAATCACGGAACATCAAAAAAGGAAGGCGCGAACATACACGAAAACATATGGAAAGGCACGGAACAAAATGAAGCAACAAGAACAATAAACGACACAACACAGGACAGCACAAACAAGGGATGACAATGAACGAAAAGACAAGAACAAGGCACGAGAAAGACACGACAAAACACGATAAGGCACAAGAAAAACACAAACTACTACAACCAACACGGACAAGACACGAAAGAACATGACAGGGCACGAGAGAAAACAACGAACAAGGCACGTACAGGGCACGATCAAGGCGCGCAAAAGCACGAGCAAGCACAAAGAACCAACGACAGAGCGCGAAAAAACACGAAAAAGACAAGAGAACGCTGGAAAACAACGAATCGCCCGCATGCCCAAGCACATCGGCCGCGCGCCCGGAGCATGGCCGCGCCCCCAGCGAACCTCCCGGGACTTCCCTGGAGGCCTGCCCAACTGCCCGGTTTCTGAACCCGGCCTGCGCTCCGCCTTGGCGCCAGCGACAACACAAGTGCCCAAGATCTTCTTCCTCCTCCTCCTCCTCATCGTCCTCCTCGTCCTCGTCCTCGTCCTCCTCCTCCTCCTCCTCGTCCTCCCTTTCCTCATCCTCCTTCCCCCCCCCTCTTCCTCTTCCTCGCACCCCCGTTTCCCTCAGGACTTCCTTTTCCTCGCACCTCCTCGCGGGATCCCTATCCGTACTGGCGCTGCCTGGGACCCACTGGCCGATTTACCCTACTGGATGGGGATATCGGCTGTTTCCTTTGGGTTTCGAGGGGTACATCGTGGGGCTCAGGATTTGGATGGGGATGGGGATGGGGATCGGTCATGCGATACTGAGGAATTGCCTGGGTCGACGCTGCGCGGCGGCCGCCATCCTCCGAAACCACCGCGACGCCTCTGAAAGCGCCCCGCAGCGCCTCGCTGCCCCGCCCCAGGCAGAGCGCGCGCGCGCGCGCTGGCGGACAGGGCGAACGCCCAGCTCGCGCCAGCGCCCCCGCCAAACACGCCACGCTGAGCGCGCCGAAAGGCAACAAAACCCAACCGAAGCGCCATCAACACGCATCAAAACGCTGCAAGGAGCCGCGCATCCAAACGCGCTAACACGCGGCCGGCGCACACCAAAACGGAGCGACGAAAAAGCTCCGACGGGGACCAGCACGCGACATTGAATTGCCCGGTGACGTACCCAGCTCTTTCTAAACACATGGCGACTATACCCAAGACCGCTCACTACAAACGAACATATTGAAGGATCCGCAATGCGCATGAGCACCCAAAACTGAAATTTGAATATCACGGGAGTGGGAATACGGAAAGAAACGCCTGGGTCTGCGCACGTACACCTTCACTCCGCTGGACCTCCCGGGGGCTCACGAAAGTGGCGACAATTGCGCACTGCCCCGCCCCCCAGGGAGCCGCGAGGTCTCGGCGAGGTGCACGTTGCACCCCACTCCGCCCGCGTGGCAGGAACCCGAGAAAATGGCGGCGGCTGCGCATTTGCCAGCCGCCAAGGGAGACGCGAGGTCTCGGCGAAATGTGCGTGACACCCCACTCCGCTCTTCCTCGCAGGTGCCAGCCCCCAAGGAGCGGCGAGGTCGCTGCTAGGTCCGCTTGGCCCCACACTCCGCTCGATTTCCCCCGAGCTCACGAAGGTGGCGACAATTGTGCACTCCGCAGCCCCCCAAGCCAGGGAGCCGAGACATCTCGACGGGGTCCGCGTAACGATCGACTTCGCTGGACCTCCCAGGAGCCCAAGAGAGTGGCAACAGGAACGCACTTCGCAGCCCCCGGGAGCCACTAGGTCCCAACTTGACCACCGTGTCCCCCCACCCCGCGGGACCTCCAAGAACCCACGAAAGTGGCGACAATTGCGCACTTCGCAGACCCCCATGGAACTGCGAGGTCCCAAATCAATCCCCCCCCACTCCGCCGGAACCCCCAAGAGCCCGCGAAGGTGGCGACAATTGCGCACTTCGCAGCCGCCCCAGGGAACAGCGAGGTCCCTTGTGGAATCCATCGCCCCCCCACTCCGCGAACCCCCAAGGAGCCAACGAAAGTCACGAGAACTCGCATTCCGCATCACCCCACAGAGCCGCGAAGTCCCAACTGGATCCCCGTGTCCCCCCACTCCGCCGGACCTCCCAGGGGGCACACGAAAATGATGACAATCGCGCACTTCGCAGCCACTCAGGGAGCCGCAAGGTCCCACCTGGATCACCGTGCCCCCCCACTCTGCGGGACCTCCCAACAGCCCACGACAGTGGCGACAAATGCGCACCGCACCCCCCCAAGGAGCCGCGAGGTCCCAACTGGATCACCATGTCCCCCCACTCCGCGGGACCTGCCAGGAGCCCGCGACAATTGCGAAAGCCGCGACAATTGCGCACTTCGCAGTCCCCCAGGGAACCGCGAAGTCCCAGCTTGATTACTGTGTCCCCCCACCCCGCGGGACCTCCCAAGAGCTCACGATAGCGGCGACAGCTGCGACAAATGCTCACTTCGCAACCCTCCATGGACCCGCGAGGTCCCCACTGGAACCCCGTGCCCCCCCCGCCCCAGACCCCCTGGGGGCCAACCAACGAAAGTGCGACAATTGCGCACTTCGCCGCCCCCCAGGGAGCCGCCAGGTCCCAACTGGATCATCATCCCCCCACTCCGCGGGACCTCCCAACAGCCCACGAAAATGGCGATCCTTGCGCACCTCGCAAGGAAACGCGAGGTCCCGACTGGATTCCCGTGTCCCCTTGCTCCGCGGGACCTCCAGGACCCACGAATGTCGAGACCATTGCCCACTTCGCACCCCCCCCAAGGAGCCGCGAGGTCCCAACTGGACCCCCGTATCCGGACTACCTACCAGACCACCCCAGCCCAACCCGAAAACCAGAATATGATTCGAATTTCGGGTTGGGGGGGGGATGCTGGTTCCATGTTTTTTGGGTTTTCAATATTCCCCGACCCCCCCCCCACTGAAAATGGATGGCGAATTGAAGCCGTCGGGTTGGGTTGGGGTGGCTTGGTGAACGGCAGTGTCCCCCCACCAACCCCGCGGGACCTCCCAACAGCCCACGAAAATGGCGACAACTGCGCACTCCGCAGCCCTCCAAGGACCTGCGAAGTCACAACTTGATCACCATGTCCCCGCACTCCGCGGGACCTCCCAGGAACCCACGAAAGTGGCGACAATTGTGCACCCCGCAGCCCCCATGGAAATGCGAGGCCCCAGCTGGATCACCGTGTCACGCTCCGCCGGGCCTCCCAGGAGCCAATGACGATGGCGACACATGCGCACTTCGCACCCACCTAAAGGAACAGCCAGGTCCCAACTGGATCCCCGTGTGACCCCACCCCGCGGGATCTCCCAAGAGCCCACGAAGGTGGCGACAACTGCACACTTCGCAGCCCCCCAGGGACCCGCGAGGTCCCAACTTGACCACCGTGCCCCACCAGTCTGCGGGACCTCCCAAATGCCCACGACAGTGGCGTCAAATGCGCACCTCGCACCCCCCAAGGAGCCGCCGCGAGGTCCCAACTGGATCACCATGTCCCCCCACTCCGTGGGACCTCCCAGGAGCCTGTGGCGACAAGTGCGCACTTCGCAGCCCCCATCGGGGACCCGCGAGGCCCCAACTGATTCCCTCGCGCCCCCCCCCCCCCCGCCCCGCAGGGGTTCCCATGATCCAGCGAACGCAACGATAATTCCGCACTTCGCAGCCTACCCCCTGGGAGCCGCGAGGTCCAAACTGGACGCCCGCGTGCCCCTTCACTCCGCGGGGCCTCCCGATAAGCCGACGAAGCTGGCGACAATCACGCGGGCCGCGACCCCCCAAGGGACCGCGAAATTCCAACTGGATCCCAGCGCCCCCCCCGTTCCGCGGGCCCCTCCCAGGAGCCCACGAACATGACTACAATTGCGCACGTCGCACCCCCCCAGAGCCGCGAGGTCCTGACTTGATCCCCGCGCCCTCCGAGGAGCAAACGAAAGTCGCGACAGTTGCGCACTGGGCAGCCCCACCAGAGAGCAGGGAACCGCGAGGTCCCGACTGGACCCCCGCGTCCCCCCACACAACGGGGCCTCCCATGAGTCCGCGAAAGTGGCGACAGCTGCGCACTTCCCAGCCTTCCAAAGACGCAAGCGAGACGAAGAAGAGGAGGAAGAGCGACCGTCTCCAATCGGACTCCCCATCCCGCCTAAGTCGCCTGCCGCGCCGAGCCCCTCAAGCACGCGGTGGCGTCGTCCAGGTGGATGCCGGAAGAGCCGAAGTAGTTTTGTAGCCGAAATAATCGTGAAAACTTGTCGCGGCTGTAGGAGCTGCGAGCGCGAGAAGGCAGCGCGGCGCGAGACCGCGCCGACGGCATCTGAAACAGGAGGAACAAGAGCACAATCGACAGCCGAATCAACAGCAAGATCCCGATGCGGAACACCGTCTCCAGCAAGGAAGTCAGCGTCTTCAGTTGCGCAGTCGTCGCATTGAGGAAAGCGAGGATCCCGAGCGAGACAGCCACCACCATCGCCCAAGCCAGGATCGAAAGCGGCATCGGCACGGCCAGAAGCACGAACACCAGGAAGCAACATACCATCGCCACGAGCAGCGGCGGGCGCATAAGCACGAGCATGCCCACGCAAAACGGCTCCATCGGAAGCTGCGCCAGCAACGGGAAGGTCCCCACGATGAGCGCACAAAGCGTCTTGGGGTCCAGCTTGACTGAACACCCCGTCAAGGACGCGGCGGACGCCGCCAGCGACCATCTGAGCAGGCCCTTCATCGACGCGAGGAGAACCACAGGCAGATAGTGGAGCCAGGGGAGAGTCATCACGCCCAGGGAGAGGGTCCGCACGAGCACCGTGCAGACTCGCCCTCGGACCGCTATGGGCCCCACCCGAACCTTGAAGAACAGGCAGGGCACCACCAGGCGGAGCACCATCTTTAGAAGGCCGTTCACCAGGCCATTCGCGGGCAGCTTTCGCTTCGAACGCGCGGAACTTGGACTCGAAGTCCAAGTCTGGCACGAAGGACGCAGAGAAATCGCGGCTCAGGTGGTGGGACTCCTCCTGCCTGGACTCCTGATTCATGGGCTTCGCAACGACGGGGTAGAAGACGAGGTGTGTAGACAGCATGCGGATGAGCGCGTCCAGCGTGTACAAAATCTGAACCAGTCACGGGATGAGAAAGGCCATCGGGTGCGTGATCTCGTCGGTGTGCGCCGCGCTGTCAGAGGTAAGCACTGTGTAGCCGACGGTAAACTCCAGGCGGGGGGCGGACGGCCAGTTCGCCACCCAAAACGGCAACACTAGCGCAAGGAACGTCGTCGACAGGAACATCATCCCGGCGAGGGCGAAGAGCAGCAGAACGGTCTCGCAAACCAGCACGCGCGGGATTTCCCGCAGAATCCTGTCTTCCAGCGTGATCCTCATGTCTATCGGGGGTCAAAACGCCAGCACGGTCCCGATCTTCAGCGAGGTCCCGGTGTCCAGCATGGGCACGGCCACCAGACGGTCCTGCAGAAACGTCAGCGAACAAAATCACCACGTCGGAGGGCAAGGTGAGCAACCACCTTACTGGATGAAAACGGGTGGACACCCGCCCGCAAGCTAGCTGGCATCAAATTGGCGATGAAACGCTCTGCCTCGCGCCATCCTCTTGATGTCGTCGCGGTCGATGGTGTCAACCTCCACGAAGGTGCGATTGGGTGCGCTGTGCGAGGTGACGTAGTAACGATCCCGCTCGCGCCGGCGGGCTTAGGCGCCAGGCAAAGGCCTCCTAGCAGCAAAAGCAACCACCAAGGAGCGGCAGCGCGGCATCTCCACAGCAGCAGATCCCACTCGAAGGTGGAGATGCACGACGACCAACGCGAAGATCAGGAACGTCGCGGCAGCGCCATGCCAAGCTTTCCCGCACGGGTATCCGAGCACGTGAAGGGCCCGCGGCGGCGCGGCGCGGTCCTGAAGCTCTTGAGCCAAAATGGTTACGGAGGAGAGAAGGGAGGAGGAAACGAAGGAAAAGGAGACAGGAGGCAGAAAGTCGGAGGCAGGAGGCAGGAGGGGGAGGAGGAAAAGGACGGACCAGGAAGTGGAGTGCTCTAACCAGAACGAGACCCCAACACAGGAGGGTTAGCAAAACTTGAAACACATGGGCACAGCACCATTTCGAACCCAAACCGCTCGATAACAGACGCAACGTTCAGAAACCATACAGCAACGTAGCCAAGCTGTACCACAATCGAGCGACAAGCGTACGGCTGCGATCGAAAACTAACCAGAACGCGCCAACACCGTACCCACGTACCCACCGTACCCCACGTTTCAATAACCCACGCGCGCGACATAATGTATAGAGAGAGAAAGACAAGCAAACAAACAAACAATCATTCTAAGACTGTTCGCTCTGACTTGCCCGTGTGCCAGTTCCCCAAACCCTCGATACCCGCCCTTTCTGCCTTCGATCGCACCCCATTTGGAGGGATGTGTTCTCTTTGCGGGGGGGCGGCGGGCTTAGACAGGCGGGCGAACCTCAACGGGCGGACAATCTTTCGTGGGCGTACATGTCCCCGCATTGGAATTGGTGTGGGCCTTGCAAAAAGGAGGGAGACAGGGATAGGACAGAGAGGCATAAGATGAGGGAAGAGAGGAGGGAGAGAGAAGGGAGGAGAGGAGGGAGGAGGAGCAGGAAGGTAAGAGCGTGAACGTTCGAGGGAGCCCTAAGCGAAAACGCCGTTCCTGAAGGAAGTCTCGAGCGGGAGCCCACGACGGGCGGGCGATCCCCTGACGGGCGGGTCGGGCGGGTGGGACATTCAAGCGGGATGCCTGAGTATGGCGAGAGCGCGATTCCTAAGTAAATTGTGACGGCGTCCTTGGCGCAGCGTGTTTCCTGAGCGTCGAAAGCGCGATTTCTGAATACATTGCATGGAAGTCACAGGCGAGAGCGCAATTCCCGAATAAAATGTGAGGGGCTCTCTGGCGGGAGCGGGGGTCTTGATTAAAATGCGAAGAAATCTTGACTCAATTGCAAGGAAGTCTCTAGCGGGAGCGCCGCTCCCGAGAAAATTGTAAGAAGTCTCAGATGGGAGCGGGGGTCCTGAATAAATTGCGAGGAAGTCACAAGCGAGAGCACCGATCCTCAGTAAATTGTGCGAATTCTCGGGCGGGAGCGGAGGTCCTGAGTAAACTTGGAGGAAGTCTCAGGCGGGAGCCGTTGTTGTTGTTGTTGTTGTTGTAATCCGGGGGGCGAGGGGCGCAGTTGGAGCATCAAGGCTTTCCCTGTCAAGAAACAGGGTGCGAACGTCGAGGGGCACACTTTGACTGAGAAAACCATATGCGCCGGTGAGGGGGGATCAACAATAATTATTCTTCAGAAATGAGAATTAACAACAACAACAACAACAACAACAACAACAACAATCATTTTACCCTCATGCGCCATGCTTCCACATGACACATGCATCCATATGGATAACACACCCCATCATGGGGGAATTGTCTGGCCTGCGGGATCCGATATTCCCTCACCCAGATATCCCGCCCAAGAAGGTTTGGCCACCACCTCTTCCGAGGAACTTCAACATCCATAGCTCGGACGGCACATCGCCTTCGCAATCGCCTTGCGCATGCCCCGCATCTCAGAGGGAGAGAAAGAGGAAGAGGAGGGGGGGATGAGAGAGATAGGGAGGGGGAGGAGGAGAAGGGAGGGGGAGGAGGGGGAGGAAGGATGAGTAGTTGTAGTAGCAGCAGTTGATGATATTGTTGTTGCGGCTGTAGCACTAGTAGTAGTGGTAACGGTAGTAGTAGTCCAAGTAAGTAGAACTGGCTTGTGGCAGCCAAGCGTTCATAGCGACGTTGCTTTTTGATCCTCCTTTAATGTCTTCTCTCCCTATCCTTGAGACGCAGAAGTCTCAAAAAGTTGGATGGTTCAGCACATCCAGGAAACCTATCGCTGGACCGGCCCAGATATGGTTCCAGAAGCGGCTCGGGAAGCTGCGCAGGCGCCAGAAGCAGAGAAGCACCACGTACGGGCGCCGGCTCGGGCGTCCGGCCCAAAGCCGCTCCAGAATCGGCCCAGGACGGCTTCCCGGGCGCCGCAAGCAGAAATTCAGCATTTTCGAAAGAAAAATGTGTATTGGAATGGCCTCTTTTCGGCGCGATCGGAACTGCCCGGGCGTCCGGCCCGGGAGCCGGGCCGGGTGCCGGCCGGGCCGGGTGCCGGCCCGAGCTCCGGAATCGGCCCGGACGGCCTCCCGGGCGCCGGAAGCAGAAATTCAGCATTTTCGAAAGAAAAAAGTGTATTGCAATGGCCTTTTTTCGGCGCCGCCTCGGAACTCGATTTTCCGGCGCCCGGGCGCCGGCTCGGGCGCCGACCCGGGCGTCCGGCCCGGGAGCCGGGCCGGGTGCCGGCCCAGGCTCCGGAATCGGCCCGGACGGCCTCCCGGGCGCCGGAAGCAGAAATTCAGCATTTTCGAAAGAAAAATGTGTATTGGAATGGCCTTTTTTCGGCGCCGCCTCGGAACTCGATTTTCCGGCGCCCGGGCGCCGGCTCGGGCGCCGACCCAGGCGTCCGGCCTGGGAGCCGCTCTCGGCGGCGAGCAAGAGCACCGAGCCCGAGTAAAAGAGGAGGAAGTCTCGAGCCGGAGCGTTGTTGTTGTTGGGGGGCCGGTTTTGGCGGAACCCCAAAACGCCTGAGCGTGAGCCTCAATTTCAGAGGAAATGCGACCGGCGCCTCGGCGAGAGCGCCAGGGCGAATATAGGGGGTCCAACAATAATAATTGTTTAGTAATTAAGGTTCAACAACAACACCACCACCATCACCACCACCACCATCACCATCACCACCACCACCAACAACAACAACAACAGCAACAGCAACAACAACAACAACGACGACAACGACGACAACAACAACAACAACAACAGCAACAACAACAACAACAACAACAACAACAATTACTAGCACGTGGGGACACTCCGTTCTCACCAGTGCCAGGGTTTTCATAGGAGGCGGGCAATACCCCCACTTTGTGGGGGGGCCGGTTCAAGCTCTACCAAATTTCCAAACGACTCTTCGCCACCACCCACACCCAGCTTCCCGCCCTATGACGTTCGGACACTTCACTTCGTGGCATGCGGACGACCGTGGCTACTATTCAGGGCCCCGCGGCCGACGACGACGGCGTGCGCGCGCGAAGAAAAAACGAATGTGTCCCACATGGTATTATTTGACAGGGATGATGGCCCTGGCAGGCGCGCAACCTTTGTTGCAGAAGTTCGAAGCACGTGAAAAAGTTGCTCGCAAGAGCCCGTTTGACAGAAATGTTGAAAAAGTATTGGGTTTCCTAAGAAATCCGCAAGAGCGCGCGGGGTGAATTTTTGAAACCCTTTTTTTGAAAAACCATTGGGTTTTTCATGTTTTTATGTGAAAATCGCTACGAAGACTAAGGTTTTGGAAGGATTTCGTCTTGCGCGCGCGAATGTGCACTTCGTGTCATTTTTTGCAAGGGATTCTTGAAGTTTGGTCATGTTAGAACAAGAAATGTCCACTTTGCCTTTTTTTTTTTTTGCAAGGGAAAACCGATCGTAACAACACAACCGGATCCGGACACCCCGTTTTGCCTGAGACTTCCTCACGAAAATGATGAAATGTGGCTGCGGCCTAGGCGCGGCGGGGGGGGCGCGCACCAGGGGCCCCAACAATAATTATTCTTTAGAATTAATAATGTTCAACAACAACAACAACAACAACAACAATCACTTTACCCGAACGCTCAGTGTTCTCACCAGTGCCAGGGTTTTCATGCGACGCCAGCCAATACCCCCACTTTGTGGGGGGGCAGTGCAAGCTCTACCAAATATCCACACGACTCTTCGCCACCACCCACACCCAGCTTCCCGCCCTATGACGTTCGGACACTTCACTTCGTGGCCTGCGGACGACCGTGGCTACTACACTGGCGTGGAGTACACACCCACAGAAGTTGTTAAGCCTACGTTCGTACACCCACAGAAGTTGTTAAGCCTTTTTTAGGATTCGGACAGCGCGCGCGGGTAGAAATTTTGAAAAGTCGTGCAGGTGTTTTTCGAGGACCTACGGTGCGATTCGTGTGATTTTATGATGCGCGGTGCTAAAATTCTTAAGAAGCCCAATGGTTTTTGGAGATTTCGGCGTGCGCGCGCGAAGAAAAAACGAATGTGTCCCGCATGGTATTATTTGACAGGGATGATGGCCCTGGCAGGTGCGCAACCGTTGTCGCAGAAGTTCGAAAAAGTTGCTCGCAAAAGCCCGTTTGACAGAAATGTTTAAAAAGTGTTGGTTTTCCTACGAATCCGCAAGAGCGCGCGGGATGAGATTTTGACATTTTTTTGTTGAAAAACCATTGGTTTTTTGATGTTTTTATGTTAAAATCGCTCCGAACACTAAGCTTTTGGAAGGATTTCGTCTTGCGCGCGCGAATGTCCACTTTACCTTATTTTTTGCAAGGGATTCTTGAAATTTGATTATATTAGAACAAGAAATGTCATTTTATAGTGTTTTTTGCAAGGGAAAGCGGGGGGGAACAAAACAACCGGATCTTGATCACATCGAATTACCTGAGGCTTCCTCACGAAAATGATGAAAATGTAGCTGCGGCCTAGGCGGCGCAGGGGGGCCGTGCACCAGGGGCCCCAACAATAATTATTCTTTAGAATTAATAATGTTCAACAACAACAACAACAACAACAACAACAACAACAACAACAACAACAACAACAACAACAATAACAATTACAAAACGGAGCAGCATGGCGCATGCTGCGCATCATCCCTGGATGGGATGTGCCAAAACCTGCGCCTGGGACGCCTGGAACCGCGACGCAACTGCGAGCAGCGACGGCGATCGCGAGCCAACTAGGCGGGAAGCCAACGGCCAAGACGACGAAGGTTCCCCCCCCCCCGTGAGCTGGCCGTTGGCATGCCAGACGCGGG